GTAGAGTTACTCCTGATTTTACATTAATGTAACTGAGAGGAGAATTAGCCCATGATAGCCTAGATCATTGGCTGCAGTTGGGCAGCAATCACCACAGCAGAGGAGGCAGCATTGTAGATGTACATTTTGCACTCATGCCCTGATGCTGATCCAATGACTCAGCCAGTCTTCAATGTAAAATAGCAGAGCCTGGTGGATGTGTTCTACTTTAGCCCAGCAGTCAAAGATCCCAATGGGCCATTCTGGCATCTGGGGATTGCTGCAGAGCAGGATGCCTTAGTTATGTTCTCTTTTCTTCAGCCAGGCCTCCTTTGCCATGGGACTGGGAGGAGTGGGTGCAGAAATCTTCCAGTGGTCAGATCCAGTGGCTTTAGGGCAGTGTTGCACCACTAGGGTGGCATAACTCAGCTGTTTTGTGTCAGAGAATCAGGTCTGTGTATTTAAGAATGTAATAAAAATCTTTACACTTTAAAAGAAACAAAAACCTCACTGTTCATAAGCAGCATCTCATTTCTAAACCCCAGTCTCTCCTCTGGTTTAATTTCTTCCTCACAATACTACAGGACATTGGGCTAATTTATGTCTTGTTCACTTGTGAAATGTCACTATTAAATCACAAAAGTTCCCTCAAACCTGTGTGCCTCTGTTTTTATTAAAGTACTAGAGCTACTTTAGTGATTCTTCATGAAAATTAATTAAAACACATAAATTAATAAAATACAATTTTAAAATGGACTCCGCCGCTGAAATGTTATGTGGTATGCAAAGCCATAACCTAAATCGAATTCTTGTGTTGAGCTATAATCTCCTAAACATATAGTAGTGGTCTGTAATGGAAATTCTTAGAAACCCCATTGCTATATTATGCAATACATTTCGCTCTCAGCACACACAACCTGACAGGATATGTACTTTTTTGAATGGTCATTTCAATATTAATTCTATATGTTTGTGTATGTGTGTGCACACAAAATAAGAAGTAACTTCATTGTCATTGGAATTACACTTGTGTATAACCAATACAAGTGAGAGACGAGTCACATTTCATGTGCGGGTATACACTATAGCCTCAAGATTGCAAATTTACAACATATCTGAGTAATTTTAGCATGTGAATAGTGTCATTGAGTTCAATGGATTACTCACTTGTATATGCAGGATCAGTGCCTATCAGTGAAATCCTGTCTTTATTGAAGTTAATTACCAAACCATACAGATTTTATTCATAATTAAATTGGTTAGACATCAGCCATATGACTAATATTAGCTGGGTTTTTTTGTTTGTTTGAGTGGGGGTTGCTCTTACCTTCCTGAGACTCTGATACCATATTGCAGTGCAACACTGAACATATAGATGTTAAAAAGTCTGCCTCATATGGCTCTAGTGCAGTGGCTTTCAAACTTCTTTACTGGTGACCCCTTTCACATAGCAAGCCTCTGAGTGCGACCCCCCTTATAAATTAAAAACACTTTTAAATATATTTAACACCATTATAAATGCTGGAGCAAAGCGGGGTTTGGGGTGGAGGTTTACAACTTGCGACCCCCCATGTAATAACCTTGTGACCCCCTGACCCCAGCTTCAGAACCCCTGCACTAGTGTACCCAATCTCCTGGTTGAGGAATCAGCCAGCTCTGCCAATGTCTTCTGATGGGGAGAGGACTGCTCGACTGTTTCCCCGTCTGTGTCCTGCTAGGAAGAAAAACTAGCTGCTTCCTCTCATATGTCCTGCCCAAGTAGGGCTCATTGGTTGGTCTGACCCTGGTAGTCAACCAGCTCTTCTGGGAGGGGAAGCCAGGGATCAGCGGAGCCAGCTGGCTTTAGCAGATTTTATTCACTATACTCCCTTATCAGAATGTATGTGAATAAAGTTTTCTACCTAGAAACCGGTATGCTGAAATCCTTCATGGGCATAAAGATTTCAGTACACAGAGGTCTCTGTGTGGAAGTCTTTTATTCACTGAAGTTTTTATGCCCATAAAGACCTTAGAACATAAAAATCAAATGGGATAATAAAATCAATAGTGATTGTCTCCAGGGGGACATGAGCAGTTAAAAAAAACAATTGCCTTTATGTATAAACAATTACTGAGATTGTGCGTGCTGTGTCAAAATCAGCCTTGGTGTAATTCTTCTAAATTCAGTGGAGTCACATGAGAAATTAGATTGCTCCATTGTTCTCAGCCTTCAGTTTCAGACAATATCCAATAATCCAAGGAACTATTATTGTCAGCATTATTTTACTGTTAAAATAGCCACTCAGAGCCACTCTATATTTGTGTAAAATATAACACACATACTCACACACAAGCAGGGTAAGAGTATGGAGTAAAGTTACTATTTTAATATTAAAGATGTCATCTTCTTCTAAGTTCCTTTTGTGCACTTTAGAGTAATAAGCATTGCAACAGTATCAGAGGGGTAGCCATGTTAGTCTGAATCTGTAAAAAGCAACAGAGGGTCCTGTGGCACCTTTAAGACTAACAGAAGTATTGAGAGCATAAGCTTTCGTGGGTAAGAACCTCACTTCTTCAGATGCAAGTAATGGAAATTTCCAGAGGCAGGTATAAATCAGTATGGAGATAACGAGGTTAGTTCAATCAGGGAGGGTGAGGTGCTCTGCTAGCAGTTGAGGTGTGAACACCAAAGGAGGAGAAACTGCTTCTGTAGTTGGATAGCCATTCACAGTCTTTGTTTAATCCTGATCTGATGGTGTCAAATTTGCAAATGAACTGGAGCTCAGCAGTTTCTCTTTGGAGTCTGGTCCTGAAATTTTTTGCTGTAAGATGGCTACCTTTACATCTGCTATTGTGTGGCCAGGGAGGTTGAAGTGTTCTCCTACAGGTTTTTGTATATTGCCATTCCTGATATCTGACTTGTGTCCATTTATCCTCTTGCGTAGTGACTGTCCAGTTTGGCCAATGTACATAGCAGAGGGGCATTGCTGGCACATGATGGCATATATAACATTGGTGGACGTGCAGGTGAATGAGCCGGTGATGTTGTAGCTGATCTGGTTAGGTCCTGTGATGGTGTTGCTGGTGTAGATATGTGGGCAGAGTTGGCATCGAGGTTTGTTGCATGGGTTGGTTCCTGAGTTAGAGTTGTTATGGTGCGGTGCATGGTTGCTGGTGAGAATATGCTTAAGGTTGGCGGGTTGTCTGTGGGCGAGGACTGGCCTGCCTCCCAAGGTCTGTGAAAGTGAGGGATCATTGTCCAGGATGGGTTGTAGATCACTGATGATGCGTTGGAGAGGTTTAAGCTGAGGACTGTAGGTGCATTGCATTGCAACAGTCATCATTGCTATGGCCTTAATAGTATCGTCCTATGCATACAGTACCATTCCTCCAAAGGGCCCCAAAACATTTCCCAAATGATAGAGCAATAATAATACTTGCACTTTATAAATGTTTTCAAATCAATGCTCACAATCTCCCTGTGAAGTCAGTAGGTAAGTATTATTAGCCCCATTGTACCCAGGAAGTTGAAGCAGAGAGGTGAAATTATTTGCCCAAGGCCACAGACCCAGTGCAGGGCTGGGAGTAGAATTTGGGACCTCTTGACTGTTGTCTGTCTCTCCCCTTCTCTCCCCTCTCCCCCCCGCCCCCAGCTTTTTTTGAAACTGAACTGACCACAGCTGGAATGTGCGACCTCTGAAGTGGAAGATGGCAACTCTGTCTGCAAACATAAATTCTACGCATTGGTTTAGGATAGGGATTGGCAACCTTTGGCACGTGGCCTACCAGGGTAAGCACCCTGGTGGGCTGGGCCGGTTTGTTTACCTGCCGTGTCCGCAGGTTCGGCCGATTGCGGCTCCCACTCAGCCCGCGCTGCTTCCCGCAGCCCCCATTGGCCTGGGACGGTGAACCGCAGCTTATCCTGGCGGGCCGCGAGCCAAAGGTTGCCGATCCCTGGTTTAGGACGAGGAATACTGTGTCCAGTTGAAACTTCAGGAGGAATTTAGGCAGGTAGAATTAAATTAGCCAGATTAAACTCTGGCCAGGAGAACCGGGTAACAACCTGTTCTTGTGAAAGTGCATTGGAAAGTTAATGACCACAGGTGCTGATGACTTTGTTACTTCTCATCCAAAAGACAGTGGGCCTAGTTCTTAAATCTAATCTGATTTGCAGTGGTCCCCAGGAGCTAAGCAGACTTAAATCTGGCTGATTCAGCAGGTGGATGATTCCTTCAGTGTTGAGGGAATCCTCCAGTGGATTCGGATTGTTATAGTGCTCCTTTATGATCTCTGTGCCCTGGCATAGGAGCATGTATGGGGAAAAGGGGATCTTGACATGAGCATTGTGGCAACCTGGTGATCTCTGGCTGGTAAAACAGCCCCTAGAGGTATGTTGGCAACAGACCTGTTCAAAACTGTGCTGGTGACCAGGCCAGCCCTAGGACCGGGGCTGCAAAGCGGTCATTTGCTGTTTCTCCCCTAGTTGTGTCCAGTGCTCTTTGGGTACATCTCAGAAACTGGGCCAACACCTTTAGCAGCACAGTGTTGGGGCACTATATCAGTACTGATTCAGGGAGAAAAGTGCCATCCCCCATTTCTTAATGGACTGTGAGTGTACCTTCAGGAGCACCCTGTCCTGATTCTGCTTCATCATCAGACTGGAAAAGATCACAGATCAAAGTAGTGTAGCTGGTGGAAATGATTATTTCATTTAGCCCAAATCGTTTGTTAGTGTTAAGTACCAGGTCATTAACCATAAGAAATGTAAGCAGAGCCTTTTCAAACTTGACAAGGAGTGAACCTGATCCTGCAAACTCTTCTTGGTAGTTCCACTGACCTCAGTGTAATTACTCATGTAAGAACTACTCATGTGAGTAAGGTTTTGTTGGATTGTGCCTCTTATTTTTGTTGCCCTGAGGCTTAGGCAATGGGTTCATGTTCTTACAAATAAATTAATATAATTAAAGTAGCTGTTAACAGGAGAGAAATAGTAAGTAAAAGTGGACTGAAATTTGACCAAGCTATTCTTTTTCATTTTCTAGTGTCTGAACTACAGGAAGAAGGAATAAATGCCATTAATTTACCTCTCAGTCCAATTCCATTTGAACTAGATCCTGAGGACACGATGCTGGGTAATTCACAATAATTTTACATCTTAACATAAGAGCCTGATGTAAACTATAATGTTATAAATGTATAATTTTTGTAATAACTTTTTTTTAAACTCATAGAGGAAAATGAAGTCCGAACAATGATTGATCCAAATTCAAGAAGTGACCCCAAATTACAAGAGCTAATAAAGGTAATGGAAAGCATGCACACACTTTCAGATTTCACTGTAAAAAGAAAGCTAAACTATTTGTTCCTTTGACCTGACTTCTTTCATCTGAACACTTCAGAATACTGTACGAGCAATCAACAGTGCACATGTGATATTCTGGGGTTCAATCCAAACCAGTGAGGGCTTGTGTCACCGCCTGCCCTGTATCTCTGGGTGCTTAAATGCGTTGCTGCTGTGGCTCGCAGCCCTGACACCAACAGCCAGTAGACAAATACAGGAGACCAAGCAGGCAGTTTTGGTAAAATTTGGGACTGGGAGTGTGTTGGGGCCACCCTGCAAGTAGTAACCCAGGTTGGTAGAAGCCAGGGTGGGACTGCTTTGTTGTAGGCAGGTTGCTGGGGTCAAAGCACTAAACCAGGACTTCACAGTACACAGACACTCAGGGAAGTGTGTGCTGGCTGTTGGTGTCTGGGCTGTGAGCCACAGCAGCACAGCATTTAAGGCACCCAGAGTTACAGGGCAGGTGGTGACACAAGTTCTTGCTGGTTTGGGTTGAACCTCAAAATACGACAGCACGTGTTCTAATTCAGTAGGTAAAGTATCAATTTTTAGATGAGGTACAAAGCGGTTAAGTGATTTACCCAATGGTACAAAGCTAGTAGCAGAGTCTAGGATAGAACCCAGGAGTCCTGAATCCCAATCCCCCTCTAATCATAAGACTGCTCTGATTTCCTCTGTAGCTCCTTTCTCTATCTTATGCCAGGAGCATCAGTAAGTAGCTTTTTTAGAGGCTGACTTCAGTAACTTTCTCCTGTCACTAGGGGCCTGGTACAAAGCCCATTGAAATCAATGAAAAAGCATTGGCCTAAAAGGGCTTGCATTAGTCCCATATTCAGAGCTCTGTGCTACCCTGACCCTTCCTTCCAAGAAGGGTTAGATCAATATCTCCTCTGTGTCATGCACTCAATCACCATTGGTGTAACCAGCAAAAATTTCTTATCCCCTCCACACCATTTGCCATTGCAGCACTGGTGCTCTTTGCTGAGTGTTTGCTGTCGTTGTATAAAATGACATATGTTTTACATTGTAAATACACAATGCAGAATCCTGACAAATTTTGTGTTCCTCATATAGGTATTAATTGACTGGATTAATGATGTATTGGTAGGAGAAAGGATCATTGTGAAAGACCTTGCTGAAGACATGTATGATGGACAAGTATTACAGAAATTATTTGGTAAGAAACTATATATGTATATATATGCATGCTGTTGGTGCACTTTCAAGAAGTGGGCCACTTCCTAGTTCCTAGTTAGAAGAGGCTTGGTATCATTTTACATTTGTTGCACTAAAATGATATAAAAATAGCCCAGTGTTCTAAGACCCTTGAGCAATAGGCTGTATCCTGTAGTATAGAGAAAGCACAGTTTTCGCAACTACATTGTATTGTGTGTTACACTATAGTTGATAAAAAGAATATAATGCATACCTGGGGTGCTGGAGGCAGGGTTCTAGTCTTGGCAGCAAATCTCTCTCCAATTAAATGTATTATCTGCATGTGTGCTGTAGAAACTCAACTATGTGACAAGTGGAAACCAAGTTTGAAAGCGAGGGTATTTCCATTACAATGGTGGATGTTTTTAATCTGTGCTGGTTCCATAGTTTAGTTTATTCAAATCTCAAAGTCCCTCTGGAAAGTTGAAGTTTCTATCTGATTTGAGGTCTGATTTAATGTTAGTGAGGTAATGATACCCAGTGGGCTGCAAACTGAGCTTCAACTGAGAAAGGGAGAAAGAAAAGACTATGAAAGCAGAGCTGGCATGTAACTTAACTGTTGGCTTGGAAGCCACTTTCTTGGTGATTACAGTAAAATCCAGTATCTGAAACTTATCTTGAAACATTCTATGAGCAGTTCTAATAATGGTCAGGCAGACCAGGTCCATAAAGAGATTTTGCCTCTATGAATGATTAAGAAATTGAACACATCGTGATTCAATTAATATAGCTCTGTTCCTGTATTGGATCCATGTGGGCAGAGCCCCACTGACTTCTGTGCAATCCAAAAACATACATCAGACACAATCTAATTAATTTACTATAGATATTAATATTTCATTTACCTGGGCTTGATCCAGAGCCTGTTGAAGTCAGTACGAATCCTTCCACCAACTTTAACAGGCTTTGGATCAGCCCTATGAAGATTTAAGGCCCGGATCTCCCGGTGCTCATGCAAGAGGCCCATTGACTTCATGTGGATCCTTGCAGGAGTGGGCTGTTAGGCTCCATGCCTTCTCCCTTTGGAAGATTTGCCATTTACGTCAATGGACGCAAGTTAAACTCACAAGCTGAATATTTCTTTTGTGAAACTAAACTGATGGGCGATTAAGTGTTTTTTTTTGTGGTGGTGGTATCAGGGTGGTTTTATTGCTAAATTATCTTTAACTGTTAATCAGTGGTTGGGAGGAGCCTGGCAGTTTAACAAAACATTATCAAGCATTGTCTTTGCTAATAATGGTAATGGAGCCTGATTCTGCTCTTCCTTACACCTGTGCAGTTCCACTGACATCAGTACAGTTATTCCTGAATTCGGACAATTGGGCCCATTGGATTTTTTCCCATTGCTTACTATCAATTTCAAAAGCACCTTCAATAAGTTTGTTTTGAAATTACGTCTCCATTGATAATACAATGTGAGAGTTTAGGATGAAACATTCAGAGCAATGACTGGGAGTCAGAAGCTCCTGGGTTATAATTTTTGCTCTTGGTCAAGCCACTTATTTTCTCTGTACTTAATTTCACTGTATCAGTTTCTAAAACTGTAAAATGTGGATAATTATACTTGCCTACTTCACAGGAATGTTGTGAGGATTAATCAATTAATGTTGATAAAGCAATTTGCACATGAAAAGAACTACAGCATAGGAGTGATAAATATTATTAATAGCAATATTTATCTTTTTTTTTAAATAACAATTGCTTCTGACAAATTTCTGCTCAGTAAAAACTTTGCATTCAGATATTTCAGGATTGGAAATTATATTTATGGATGGAAATCATACAGTCATCTAAACCCTTATGCACATCCAAATTATTAGATAATTTCATAAATTATGGATGAAAGAACACTATTTAAATTAACCAATACATTTTGTTAAAATTGGGTTGATAAAATATCTTTAATCATCACTAAACTTGAAAATATGTTTGTGCCATTTTCTCATTACACAGACCTACTGTGCATTAAATTAATTAAAGTCCTTGTCTATACACATAACTTGCAATAGTTTCCAAAATTAGTTTTAAAAATTGATTTACTTAAACCACTGCAAATCCATGTATGGACTCACTTCCATTGGTTCACACCTGGCTTTTATTCATATTTCTTAAGGCAGTAATTCACTGAGGGAGAAGCTGTTGGTCTGGAGTGGACGAATCAAACCTTTTTAAGCATGATATTTGTCTCTATCGGGCTTGTTGCTCTGTAGCGCAATTCACTTCTGTGCAGAAGATCCCTCGTGGTAGAGCTGTGGAGGCAGCATCAGCATGTTTAACCCTGAGATGTGCTCTAGAAGGATTTGCATCCAACCCTTCACTACTTTAGACTAAAAAGTTAGGGGAAATAAGGGGAAAATGTGGGTGATATTGTTAGGATTCCAAAATGAGACTGGAAATCCCCTTAAGGGAAAAAGAGTATCCTTCGCTGAACAGGCTGAAAAATCAAGGGTTAATTTTAAAACTATGATGCCTGATATCTTCCAAAAATCCATTGGAACAGAATGTCTTCACATATATTACTCATGGTACCTAGGATTAAGGAGTAGACTGGCTGTTGTTGGTTTTTTTCTTCCATTATCACTTCAGAGAAACTTGAGAGTGAAAAACTGAATGTTGCTGAAGTCACACAGTCTGAAATTGCTCAGAAGCAGAAGTTACAGACAGTTCTTGAAAAGATTAATGAAACCCTTAAACTTCCTCCAAGGAGCATCAAGTGGACTGTTGACTGTGAGTTGCATGTTTCACAATGGAATGCTCGTTTGTTGATAGTATAGATAGTATAGTTCCCCACTGCAATTCATGAACATAGAATAGTACATCTACCAATTCCTGCCCTTCCTGGTGGTAGCTGCACAGTAAGGGGAGGATGAGAGGGAATTCAGCAACTTCTCTCTTCATTCTCTACTGATGCTCAACCTTTCAGAGCCAGATTTTCAAAACATGACATCTGTGCACTGAAATGTGCCTGCCTACCTGTTTGCATCTGCATTTACCATATGTATGCATGCAGCATGCATAAAGGCAATATTTAGGCACACAGATATCCTTTTGCACGTTATGTGCACGTAATGTGCTTGCTTACAGATTGCATACAGCTAGATTGGATCAAAGCCCACTGAATATATTTAGGGTGAAAATTTGGCTCTACTGAAGTCAATTGCAAAAACTTCTATTGATGTTAGTGGGGTCAGGATTTCACCCCCAGCCTTTAATGTATTAAAAAAAAAAAAGCCATATTAACAGCTAGCAATGCAGGAGGGGGCCACAGGATGATTTTGCCCATCCTGTGATCCTTTAAAGGGGCCTGTATTTCAGCTCAGCTCTTTCTGAAAACCAGGCCCCTTTAAAGTGTTTCAAGGTGGGCACCCAGAATCACAAGGTCATTCTTAAAAATCTTGGCCAATAGGTTTATAGCAGGTTTTTTTCTATCTTCTTCCCCCAACCTGAGCCATGTTCCCTTTCATCCCCAAAGTCCCATTGTCAGCACAGATCTATGGAGGTAAAAGAGGTAGGTATGAGGAGGCAGGGTGAACATTAAGCATAGCTGCCTTTCCCGCTCATCCTATCATACTTTTTGTCTTATAGTTTTCTTCCATTCCCTCCTGGCTCCTATACAGGGCCGGCTCCAGGCACCAGCCCAGCAAGCAGGTGCTTGGGGCGGCCAAGGGGAAGGGGCGGCACGTCGGGCTGTTTGGCGGCAATTCGGCAGCGGGTCCTGCCACCGAATTCCCGCCGAAGAAGAAAGCGGTGCGGTGGAGCTGCCACCGGAGTGCCGCTGATCGCAATTGCGACAGCGGCTTTTTTTTTTCCCCATCGCCGCTTGGGGCGGCAAAAACCCTGGAGCCGGTCCTGCTCCTATACTGCAGGATGTAGGGGGTGGGGGCAGGGTGGCCCTGTGATTGACTTGTCTTTGTTTTAATGTGTTACGGGTGTTTGTGAGTTTTAGTGCTAAGGTAGGAGATTGACAGCAGTGGCTCAGGCCAATTGTAGTGCAAGTAGATGCAAGTCAGTCTTCCCTATCCAGTTCTGCCAAAGCACCTCATTCTTGACAGTAGTATCCCCAACAAAGTTTGCCTTCTGTGCCAAATCATGTGGTGTTTTTGCAGAGAAATCTCTGGCACATGTTTGTGACTTAGATTAGAAATGACGGAGGAGAACATTTCATTGACTCTCTTACCATTTTATTTGTGTAATAACTTAGTAGTTATTGGTCAGTTTATGTATGGAAAATGTACAGCATTGTTTTGTAGCTGTCAACCATCATTTGAGAGCATTGCCCTAAGGAAGCCTAAAAATGCAGTGCAAATCTGGACACAAGCAAAAATAATAAGAAAGGAAGTACTAAAGTTAGAAATAGATTCCCCTTTGATGTCAGTGGGTTGATACTTGATTACAGCTTACCTACAGTAAGTCCTTTGATATCTTGTAATTCTTGCTAGTGTTAACTACCCATATGAAACCTGCTGAGAAAAAGCTAAAATAACAAGAACTATAACAAGTTCATGAGGAATGTTTGAGTCACTGAGTTTAGTAAGTTATTGCTTCAAGGCTTCAGCCAAAATAGGCTCATTTATCATCCTGCAGACATTGTGACACTTAAAAATGAATAAAGTGCATGTTATGAATACAAAAATATCTTTCTGATAGTTCATAAATTCATATTGAAATAAAGAGGATAAAGGACCAGCAAAGGAGTGCATAGACAGCTGTTTAAGCGGCCGTACATAAAATCTGGCTTTTGGATCAGGTTTAGATTTCCACCTTCCCAGGCCAATGGCATCCAGACATTGCAAAAGCAAAAATTTTTTTTTGCACTGCATTTCTACCACTAGCTGATTTATGGAAAGCAGGAAGGCAGTTGAAGAAAAGGTACCCTGATAGCAGCCTCCAGTGAGTCCAGATACCAAGGGGAAAAGTATCCCATATTCCCTGGTGTTCCTGCAAGCAAAAATAAATATTTTCCTTAGTTACTTTTCCTTATGTAACTTGTGGTTTTTAATATCTATTTCAGCTGTTCATGCAAAAAGTCTTGTAGCAATACTTCGTCTTTTGGTTGCATTGTCACAATATTTTCGGGCACCAATCAGACTCCCAGACCATGTGTCCATTCAGGTTGTTGTTGTCCAGGTAAGAGAAACATAACTCAGCTCCTGAAAATGATTTTGAAATTGATTGGTGAGTTTGTTGAAGAATGAACCTAATACACGTATGTGCAAGTGCATGTATGTGTGCACACGTGTGTTTTGCTGGCTGACAGTGCTTTACGCAAAAGGCAAAAGAACGAGTGTTATACCAGATTGAGCTGTGCCTCAGAATATTTTATTTTGATTGCAAAGTGGCCAGACTATGACATTAAGATGTATTAAATATTATTGTTGGAATGTATTTGTCTGTTTATCACACAGTATGATCTCTAGAGTTAATATTTATCTCATTTCTGACGATCTTCTCACTGCCCCTTCCTAGTGCAGATATTTAAATCAGCCCTTGCACTGAGTGATGAATTGTCACCCTTTATTAAATCCAAATCCATGTTAGGTGAATAAATATTCTTTTTCAGCCTTATATACACTAATCTAGTCTGATTACAAGTTTTGGCTCTTTCATAAAGAAACCATCAACTGGATTTTTCTGTGCCAATCACACTCCATATTAGAGCCCAATCTGCCTAAACTTTCCAGGCTCTTCTGTTTGTTATTTTTTTCCTACTAGACTCAATTCTATTTGTGCTTGCTATATTTTGTTCTGCTTCTTGCTATTGTCTACAAATCAGTTCTGCCTTTATTTTTCACAGCTTAGTAGCCTTTACCTTTTTTGTTTGTTTGTTTATGTTGCTTGCCTAGGTATCTCTTTGCAAGAAGGCATTATTTAGGCTCTCTTCAAATATGCATGACTTGAAGATCTATTAGGCAAATCTAAAAAATTAACAGCTCTTATTTCCACCATTCACATGTCAGAAAAGTTTTCAAATTTTGTAATTTCCTAATAAAGGAAGCTCAGGGGGAACTTCTGGCAGATATATCGCTGAAGGCTGCTAATCCTGCTCGTTGGCTTTAAAATTCCAGTTGGTGGGCTTTCTCCAAATATGATCAAAGTGACCCATGGTGAGACTCCACTGATGAGTGTAAGGCTTCAGAGGAAAATTACTTTCAATCAAACACTTTCCCTTCCTGATTTGGATGTTATACAAATATTAAAAGGACGAGTTTATCTCAAAGTGCTAATAACCACCATCCAAGAAGCCAAGAATGTATCTATCAGGTCATCCTTAGGAAAAGGACCAAATGGGGAGAGGGAAAAAATGTGAAAAATATATCCATAAGGAGCCAAATCTTGCATTCCTCTTTATTCTGACAAAACTCCCATTGAAGTCAATGGGCTTGTTTCTCCTCTTATGTAGCACAATGATGTAAATGAGGAGTAATTCTACTCAAGTCAATGGAGCTACATGACTATAAGGGTATGTCTTTTCTGCAATCACAGCTGATTCATGCAAAAAGCCTTGTATCGATACTTCATCTCTTTTGGTTGCATTCATAATAATTTTGAGCACCAGACTCCCTGACCATGTGTCCATTCAAATTGTTGTCCAGGTAAAGATAAACGTAACTTAACTCCTGGAAATATTTTTGAAATTGATTGATGAGTTTCTTGAAAAGTGAACCTAATACATGTATGTGTGCATGCTAGCTTTAATCTACCTAGCTTTGATCCCAGAGCAGTGAAGCAGCAGCTGCAACACGGGCTTCAGTTCAGGCTGTATAAGCCTGCATAGAACCCTGGGTAATTACTCAGGGAGCTAGCTCATGCTGAAGTACATGCTACTGTGGCTTCGCTGCTCTGGTACCTGAGTATCCCTACACAAGCTTTAATCATACGCTGTGACTGCACTATAGACATACCCTGAAAAGCATTGTTAAGTAGGGGACAGAATGAGAACCAGGTTTTGTTCCAGCACAGACCAAGCAGGACTGGGTCAATGTGCATGTTTCTCCTCTCTTACACTGCTGTAAATCAGGAGTAAGTGCACTGTGGCCAGTGGAGTTTCACTGGGATAGAATCAGTGCAATGTGGGAGGAGATTTAGCCCCACTGAGCCAGATCCAGTGTAAATCAGTGTAATTCCACTGAAGTCAATGCAGCTGCATCGATTTACAGCAGCTAAGGATCTGGCCCAGTATTTTTAGAATAATTCATCTTTGTTTTTTTATCCATGTGGTTATTTTATACACAGTGGGCCTGATTCTAAATTCCTTATGGACCTGCAATGCCCATTTGAGTGAAATGGAAGTTTCAAGGAACAATAAATGCAGCCTTAGGCCTTTTTTCACTGTTTACATTAGAAAGTCTAGTAGCTTCAAACCCTGATATATTCTGTAAAATAAGGTCATGGCAAGGAAAGCTCAATAGGCTGTAAGAGGCCTGTTTTTTAAATGCCACTGTTTGCAGTTTGATAAAGATAGAGGGAATGTGTGTGAGTGGAGGTGGGAGGGGGAATTGGAGAAAAAATACATTAAAAAGCCCTGAATGTGTTTCAGGTTTTTGTTATCGATTTTATACACACAACATATGAAGGTTGCAGTGTTGGCTGGGGTTAGTTTACTGAAATACAAATTTGTTTCTGACATAAATAACATGATAAAACCCAACTGGTAATCAGGACAGTGCTTATGAAAGAGTAATTTTAACCTAGATTTCCTTCCTTTGTTTTGCACAAAAGCTGTTAGCAATTAGAGTAATTAAAAATCTAGGTTATAAGCCGGTTTCTGAAAAATGATGCACTTGGATCTTCCCTGGTTCATTTCTGTATATTATTCTCCTTTCTCTCCTGTAGATTTTTTTTATTGACAGTATAGGTATCTTTTTTTTACATGCAGTGAGAGTACTGTTAAATTTCTGCTGAAGGGAGTGGGAGTGTTCAGGAAGAGCTGGATCATGCCTTAATTTTGCATTTCTTTATTCTGTATAATATTCAAATGATTATGGGGCAGATTGTGCCTAGCTTGCATGCAAGGGTTGTGGGAAGAGCATAAGAAACCTGGCGCCCATGCATAGTGCCCAAGCACATTAGTGGCTCTGCATTCCCCTTAGTGCAGGAACTGCTCCATTCTAGAACCCTATGGGACATGGTCTGGGCACAAAGAGCAGAGAGTATTGCAGCATCCTAAACATGGTACATCGGGTGCTTGGAAGCTCTACCAACTCTGAAACTCTGGGAAGGATTGAAGAGTTTTAAAGCAGCGTTGCCTACAGGCTCTCATTAAATCACTTGGACCCAAGAGCACTTCCAAAGATATATTCATTCTCTGAGGCTGCAGAATGGTTCCATACTTCAGCGTCATGGGGCAGATTATAAGAGCAGACATCACCAAGTTAAATTTATGGGGCCTAATCCTGCAGTTCTTGCATAGGCAAAACTCCTATTGACTTAGTGGGAGTTTTGTCTGAGTATGCACTGCAGCCTTGGGCCATAGTAAAGAAAACACTGCCAAAATGCTCAGTCAGGGAAAGGGGAAAACAGCAAATGATAGACAACACAACCACTTTTATTTTCAGATATCTTCTCCCCCACCCTCCAAGATATGTTTTAATACAGAAATGGCTTTTATAACAAGAAGGATCTGTGACTAGCTGGAGCTTGCATAGCCTGGAATGCAACCTTACAGTTATTACTGATTAGCGCCAGCAGAACTGTAAATGCATTAACTTCCAAAGGGTAGCTTGTATGTTAAAATTCATTGGTGTGAACACACATCCCTATTTGAAGGGAAGTCTCTGAACTGATACCTAATTCCCTGTGTCTTCAATAGAAGAGGATGAACTTTGGCCTTCATTTCAGCAATAAACTGTGATAAAAAAAATGTATGAGTTGATATCACGGGTACAAGCTTATTTCCGTTTTATGTCAAATAATGGAGTTTTGTAGAACTCAGAATGTTCAGTGGGAATGTATAGATTTTGATGGGAGAATGGCAAAAATATTTTGATTCAACAAAGTTGAAATGTGTCAATTAATTTAATTTGACTTATATTAAATATTAATTTTAATATTATATTTAGACATCATTGTATATGTATGTTATACATATACATACATATAACATATTTTACAGTATTTTAATATAATTTAAAAGTCAAAATTAAATTAATCAAAACAATAATGTCAAAATTAAAACTTTCAACACTATTGATATTAACTTTTTTGATGATCCCTAATCAAAATATTTTTAAAATTTTGTTTTGCTGATAATTTCAAATTTGGGGGGTTTTGTTCCCATTTGAAACAATTTCTTTAAATCGTCAGAATATAATGTGCAATGGAAATTCTAAAGCCCAACCAGCTCTATTTATATGGAAGAGCTGACAGGTCACATCCGTCAAAGGCAGCACAGAGTTTGAAAACAAGTTTTTTTTTAAATTTTGTGTCGTCCTGTGGAATTCGTAGTAGCCTTTTTAATGGCGTTACTGGGAAATGGGGGTAGGTTTTGAAACATCTTTGTTTATTTGAAATACCATTTTGGATGGTTAACTCTGAGTCAATAACATTGCTCCTGCTACCATTTTTTTTTAAATATTGTGTCACTTTCCATTTAATTCAGAGCAATCTACACAATGACAAATAACTTCTCCATCAGGATCAGCTATTAATGTACACAAGTGCTATATAAGGAGTCTACATGTTTAAAGTTCTTAAATTACTTTTTCAGAGGTCCATTCTCCAATTGCTACATTTGTAGGGTTGCCAACTTTGGTTGGATGAATATCTGGAGATTGCCTGATGTCTCTTTTCCCATTAGTTAATGGGGGATTTAGGTTCAGAACTCCCATTAACATTAATAGAAATTTTCTAGTTAGTGAAGTAATTGTTCTTAAACTGTACTAGAGAATGTTGTTTGGTCATGTCTTAGATTATTTTGCATACCTGCACAGGGAGTACAAGGACCCTGATTATCCCCCTGCATCACCATCCTACACAGAGGGGTGAACAACTGCCATCTTTTATGCTGCTACTCCCCTCAGGTGCAGACACTGGGCAAAGCCTGCGCTCCGTTCCCCCTTTCCCCTCATAATGCACCACTGCACCTCAGCTCTAGCACAGAGAGGGCCATAAATTGTACCAGCAAAAAAGGTTGTTTTCTGCCCTGGAGCAAGGGTGAGGAGCCAGATTGCAACTGCATCACAGTCATGTTCCTCCTCAGTTCCTGGGGCAATACAGCCATAGACTGCCCCTTACTTGCAGGGCCGGCTCTAGGCACCAGCAAAACAAGCTGGTGCTTGGGGCGACACATTTTTAGGGGCGGCATGGCCGGCGCCAGAATGCCGCCCCTAAAAATGTGCCCCGGCCGCCCTAGCTCACCTCCGCTGCTGCTGCCGCTCGCGCGCCGCTACTCGCCCTCCCTCCCAGGCTTGAGAGCCTGGGAGGGAGTGGGAGAAGCGGCGCCCACGCCGCGGCCACTCGGAGTCTCCCCCTCCCTCCCTAGGCTTGAGAGCCTGGGGGGAGGAGGCAGGGCTGGGGATTTGGGGAAGGGACGGAGTTGAGGCGGGGCCGGGGGTGGGGTAATTAAAAAATGGGGGGGGGGAGGCGGCCAAAATTGTTTTTGCTTGGGGCGGCAAAAATCCTAGAGCCGGCCCTGCTTACTCGGGCCGCATTTTAAGGTTTCAACCCAGCCCTAAATAATTGGGGCATTACACAGAAAAAATATGGTTTTTCAGTAATTTACACAGTGCTGCATGTCTCAGCAGCCATTATCTGAGCCATGTTTAATTAAGAGACATATACAAGCATCACTACAGTTTGTTTCTTTGTTTGCAGTTTTTTAATGTGTAACAACTCTTCCCCCAATATGAAGTTTTTAGCTAAGTGCAATTGGTACTTTCAACCAGAAATTAGAACTTATTTAGTACTTATTTAAATCTATAGTTACAAAACAAACAAACCTGGAACATACAAACCTGGGGGAGGGATATCTCAGTGGTTTGAGCATTGGCCTGCTAAACCCAGGGTTGTGAGTTCAATCCTTGAGGGGGCCATTTAGGGATCTGAGGCAAAAATCTGTCTGGGGATTGGTCCTGCTTTGAGCAGGGGGTTGGACTAGATGACCTCTTGAGGTCCCTTCCAATCCTGATATTCTATGATATATGACTTTCTCCACAAAACTAAATTTTATATATTTGTATAATGTCAGTTGATAGTAATATAATCAAACCAAGCCAAATCCTCATCCCACCATGCAGTCTGAGCAGCAGGACTCTGCATTGGGGTTGCCCATGCATCTCTTCTCTTCAAGCAAGGGAGTAGTAGCACACCTGCTTCACAGATACCACTGCCTCATTCCTAAGTAGCCACCATGACCACTGTACCCCTCTTTTTAGAGGGGGAATAATCAGTGTTCTTTGAAGTTGTTCTCCTCTAGACTCTTTCATGTAGTGGTCATGTGTGTGATCTTAGGACAAGTATAAAATTACTTTGACACTGCCTTGTGTGATGGAGAGTGGAGAATGGTGTAACACTCAGAGCTTGCCTGATTTTTCTTTTTGTACTACAAAATTTGACGACCGCCATTGATTAAAGTTAACAAAGAGAACACCGAGAGAGGCAATACATTCCTGAAATGTGTACTCCAAGGCCAAAATGGCAGTGATCAATGTAAGGGAAGGAACTGAGGAGACTAAGGCTGCTTCCTTTGCCAACTAACTCAGACTCTCTGACAGTCGGTCAACTCCTTAGCCAGTGTACAGCATTGAACACTAATTAGCACATGCAAGGGTCTTCCTGTATATTGGCTAGATCCATAAAACATTGAAGTAAAACTAACACTGACTTGGAATTTGGATCAGGCCCTGTATATTGTCCTTCATTTTGGAGTTTCTTCCCAAACAAACACAGCCTCTAAGGCAGAGAGGAGCGAAAAATGGCAAGTTTGAAATAAAAATAATAATAAGGATGAAGAAAGAGAACAGGGAAAGAAAGGATCGCTAGAATGGGAGTAAAGGATTGCAAAAACTGGGACTGCGTGGGCACCCTTTGCCTGGGCTGCTTTTTCAACATAGGCTGCAATTCAGCACACCGGCTCTCTTCAGCAAACCTCCTATTTGTGTGCTTAAGCTGTTTCATGTGCTTTGCTGAACTGGAGCCTTAGACAGAAAAGTGAGGGAAGAAAAATGGAGAAAGGGGAAGAAACAGATCGTTTAGTCCTTAGGTTCTCTGTTACACAAGGTGACATTTCAAGTCTCTTAGTATTATACCATTGGTGGCCATTCTTAACTTTTTATTTTAACAAGTGAGTTATCTGGACTAAATTCTGTGGAATACATACAAATGGAAATAAAATAATACAGTCAAGTTTGAAAAAAAATGTAGATTTTTATTTTTATGTTTATCTGATGATATTTGTAGATCATAGATAATTTTTATAGTACCCTAAACATTAAACTGTACTAAACTAAACAAAAACCAATTCTTTTTTTCCAGAAACGAGAAGGAATCCTCCAATCCCGACAAATCCTAGAGGAAATAACTGGTAACACTGAGTATGTCAACACCACTGTTGCCAGCAGTTCAGTAATTGAACACAGATGTGTCTCAAAAATTCAACCATTTGGTGATATTTAGATTTCATTATTGGGGTTCCAGGAGGGATCATGCTTCAGCTAGTGATTATAGTTTAGTCTTTATAAGGCTTTCAAACATGCCTCTCAAAATGTAACATTACCGAGTTGGAATTACTAATGACAAAGTAACGGCAAATCTCCAAAAGACTGAGACCAAAGGAAAGGTAGAGCAAATATGTATGAAATTTGTGCATTTCAAGAAATCTATATTGCATCCTGTTTCAAATACTATACATTCAAAATTGTCTGAATACGTTTTTCAAACAGACAAGAAGAGGGGTATGTCTTATGCTTTTACCTTTCACAGTTTAGTTATGAAGTGCTAAATTATCTCAGAAAAGAAAAAAACTGTTCCCCAATATTTCATTCACCATTAGGCTCTGAAGAAGCATAAGTGACCATGGTAAAACATTTACATGTGATCTCACAGTGCAATGTATAGTGGAAACATTATTCAAGTCCAGCAAGAAACAGCAGAAAATTCTACTTTCTAATAGAGTGAGGAGTGTTCAGGCTAATGACTCATTATTAATTCTCATTATTATGGGTTTATTACAAGTGTGATATTTATATGAAGGATCAAATGAAACAAAACTCTGCAGTCCTTAAGAACCTAGTCTAGGCATTGTTGTTTTGGCTAGCACTTTATTGTAGTGGCCATGACAACTGGATATTTGGGGCAAAGGGAAAAGAGTTCATGAAATAAAACATAGCAAAAACCTTCTCCACAAGAGAAGGCTGTTGATTTGGCTCAGCAGTAGGAAGTGTACTATTTGGTATCACCATGAACCTTTATTGAAGCCAACAAGACTATGTTAGTTGATTCAAGATGCTATGAGCCAGAGTCTCAAGTGGGTAAATTGGTGGCGCTCCATTGAACTCTATTAACCTACTCCAGTTTCCACAGAGCTAAGGATCTGGCCATATATGCAGTTTTCTTGTCCATCTTAAAGAAAAGCATGAAGTAAAGTAAATGAGATACATAATAATTTTGTTTTCCTTTTTACTATAGGGCATTATCAGGAAGGTATGGTAAGTTTCATTTGATTATTATCATTTTCTTGAGGCTACCAAAGTGTACATGAATTAATTCTCCTACAGCTGATCCGTTCATTCAAACCATAAGTCAGGCCAGGATTTGCAGCTGCCTTGATAAATATATAAATAAATGTGTTGTAGATTGGGATGGCAGTTAACAAATAAGAGAAACATTGATGTCAGCCTAGCCATTTTTAAAACAAATTATTTCTTATGCTTTTCAGCAAATGCTATTTTACAGGTGATTGGTGATTTCACCCTAGAACTTCAATATAAAAACATTAATGATTAGAGGTTCCCAACATGAATGAAAGATGATGTTCCATAATACAACTGCCATTCCTTTTAGAGCATTTGATGCTATGCTCCTCTTTGCTTGCAATGGAGAGGCTTAGTCTCTTTTAATTGAAACAGTTGTTACGATTTTATCCTGAAATTGCACCTTTAATGTCACTGAGACTAAAATCAGAACAATGTTAATCTGGTTTACATAATTTATTCACAGCTGAGTTCAAAAACGCTGGTCATGGAGATGCTTTTTGGATCAGACTGTGATACTCTTACTCATATTGAGTAGAACCTTACTCCATGTGAAATCACCATTGAAGTCAATGGGACTGAGTAAAGTTATCATTCTAGCTCTTTCTGTTTAGGGAGGGCAAAAGCAGCTCTCTGTGAAGTCATTTTGTGCCACCCCAATTACTAGCCAAAATGGAGTAACTTGGGGATGATTCAAGGTCTCTTTTTCTTTTCAGAAGGTGAGTCCACTGTTACCTCAGTCCTCCCACCTCTGGTAGGTTGGCTATCTGTCCTGGTCTTTAAGAGATTACGCTAATTTCAGTGGGGTTGTCCTGCAACCTGGGACATTAAAATGTCACAGGACACATTTCACGGTGGCACAAAATCATCTGTACCAAGCATCATTTTACAACTGTGACATGAGGACTTGTTATAATGTGGTAACGAACCAAGATCACAATGTAATGCAAGCATCCCATGCACTTTGTTACAAATGTTGCTCTCTCAGTGACTGAAGGTGCAAGTTCACATTGTTCGTGAATTAATTTGGTTCACTATCTACCTATGCCTAGTTATCAAGGTTTTTATACAGGTAGATATTGATCGTTGTTAATTCTCAGGGAGAAAGTTACAGTTCATTGTTCAGATCACTTCATTAAGCAGCCCAAAATCCCAGCGAAAATCTGTTACTGGCAAAAGACAGTAATAGTTTCTAGGAGATTATAGAAAGAGACGAACAATCAGAATATACAGTAAGTGCAGTAAAAAGAAACTACATTAAAAGATTCTGCTGATGCTGTTGGTCTCATCATTCATGCTCTTTAATTAGTGTTTATTATGCACTTGGATAGCTGTTGCTTGCTATGTTAACAGATTTGACTATTTTTTCAGAACGGGATGCATTTGACACTTTATTTGACCATGCTCCAGACAAGCTCAATGTTGTAAAAAAGGTTGGAAAGTGTTTTATTTCTGAAATACAATTAAGTAGCACATTAACATATTTAATGTAATAAAACTTAAACTTTACACTGAAAATGAAAGTCATAATCCTGTGATTACAAATTCTGAGTGTTACATTTATTGCTTTCATCAACATTAATTTTGCTTCAGAAGATAGAACAGGAGAGATATATAGATGTCTCCATTGTAAAGAACTTTGTCATGTAACTGGGTATGTCTACACTGCAGTTAGACACCCGCAACCGGCCAGTGCCAGCTGACTTGAGCTCATAGCTAAAGGTCTGTTTAATTGTTGTGTAGACATTTGGTTTTGGGCTGCAGCCCAAGCTCTGGGACTCTCCTACCTTGCAGGGTCCTACAGCCTGGGCTCCAGGCCGAGCCCAAATGTCTTCACTGCAATTAAACAGCCCCTTACCCTGAGCCCTGCAAGCCCAAGTTAGCTGGCATGGGTCAGCCAGGGTTTTTTAATTGCAGCGTAAACGTACCCTGTATGTAATGTAAAAGAAAACTCAATAGGTCGATCCTTATCTCCGCTGAAGCCAATTGAGAAATGCCAATTTACATCAGCGGATTATCTGCCCCCATGTATTTCAGCTGCTATCAAATTGAAGCCTAGTCTAATAACACAACTCTCTAGACTGCTACAAATCTTTTTTTTTAAGCTTTCTGAAGAAGAATCACATTATAACAATGTGTTTTAATTATCTGATTAGTGTTCATGTCAGTTCTGTTCCTCTCTCAGAAAACCAATCAATCTAGGAGTAAAATACTTTAAAAATCGCAGGTTTCTGTTTGTAACTTTAAAACATTTAGAAATCAGCTCTAAACACTGTGCACGTGCAAGTCTAACTTATGGGAAAAGTTGAAACTGCTGCTTTAAAAAGTGTGCCTTGATTGACATGTTCTTATTTTTCAGACCCTCATCACTTTTGTGAACAAGCACCTGAATAAACTGAATTTGGAGGTTACAGAACTGGAAACCCAGGTAAGAATTCATAGCCATGGGAGGACAATTGCACCATACTATACACGTATCATAACTTGTTCAAAAGTTTCACTGGAGTCTTATTAAGCCATCTTCAAAGAAATTATTTCACCCAGGAACCCCTCTGGATTGCTTAATTTTATATAGGTCTTTCATGTGAAGATAAAAACTATACTGCAAAGACAATGAGCTATTCTAGTAGTAACTGAATTTCTGGAGCACATTCCCTCAAAAGATTTGTACTTCTTTTACCATTAATGTTAGCTGTACACTATATAAGGAGGGTCCAGAACAATTTTGGTCATTAGAGATTCCATAGCAGTTTTTGCAGTAAGAATCTTCGCCCTGGTATTCTGATCAAATTCCAACTTGGGCAATTGCATTCCAGCTATCTTTACTTAACTCAAATGAAAAATCTCATGGGACTGCTGTGACACTTCTCACAGAGACTGCTTACACACATAAAGTTATTGAGTGTATAAGCAGTTGCATCACTGGGTTCTAAGCCTGAGAGCTCCACAGTGTGACATGGTGCTGGCTCCTCCTCCTTGTTTCCAGTCGCTAGAATGCATTGAAAGAAGCTAAAAATACATTAAATACTTCCCTAGTATTCTTTTTCTATATAAACAATTGCTGCAGTTGCCACAAGGAAGTTACATGATGAGATAGGAAGGAAGGTGGTCTGCATGATCACCAGTGAGAGGGGAGATGTCCATAGGGCATTTTTTCCTTTAAGACATGATTCTTTTTACGAAAAAGTCTCAGAACCCCTCGTATAACTGACTACAAGTCTCTAATAGGTATGGATTTTGCACAGGTGAAATTAAGAACTAGATGGGAGGAGACATATAAAGGCTTTCAGAAATATGGCTTTGTTTCTAAGTGTGTTTGTTTATTCCATTGTTTTCTTACTGAAGAACCCTCATTAATCAATGTCCCTAGAGACCCCAAAAAAGTTCATTGAAACTGGATTTCGCTAAGCTGAAAGATTGATTGTATTTCCAACAGCAGAGAGATGATGAGCAGCTTCAGGGAGACACTGAGCTGCTTCAGATAACCTGGGGAATTGGATAAACAGAATTTGATTAAGTGAGGCTATGTTCCAGCACTGATAGTTGTGATGTATAGATAAGATTGAGATGGCCATTCTATTCTAAACCTCTCTTCACAGTCATTCATGACTTTCTCTGAAATGTTGCCTTTGGGCAAAAATTTGCTCATGCCTGGTCTCAGCCCAGGTTCAGAAAAAAATCCATTAATCTGCTTTTGTGTTACACAAGTGTGAAAAGAATACATTTCTTTTTTAAAAAATACAGAATTTGTGTCATCTCAAAGAACTCAAAACCATGTTTTTAAAAAGCTTGACATGCTTATTGTTCTTTGAGGAATGTGATCGTGTTCTGAAATTTTTGAGAAACATGTTTTAAAATTTAAAAGTAACGTGTATGAAAACCATGTGCATAATGTGTGAAGTTATAGTTCATAATGAAATAAGGATGCACCATAGCAGTTAGATGGATGCCATCTACCTATAATTGTGTACACTGAAAAATAGGTTAATATGGACTTTACTGAACTCTGGACAACCCTTTTGTTTCTTTATTCCCCTCCTCTTTTTCCAATATATTGAGATTTCTTGTGCAATCATTAGATGACATTCATTTCTACTTTCTTCTGCTCTGGGGCTATGTGCCATGTCACAAACAGTTTGGAAGAGATGGCTGTGCCTCTGCCACAGGGCCAGCAGAATCTGAATTGAAGGTGTGTTCCTTAGACCAGCCATCCCAAGGCTCCCACACTACAGAAATGGGCTCACAACCCCCTGTTCCTCCAGTGATGAATCCACTTCCCAGTTACCAAATCTACTCAGCCTTCAATGACAAGACACCCATAACTGCAGGTCTCTGCTGGCCACAACCTCTTTCCAGGGTGTTTATATGCCCACTTGTTTATGTCAGTCTCAGATCAGTTTAGCCATGAAGGCATAACAGTGTAATACCTGATATAAGCATAAGAAGTCACATAAATTAAATCTTTTGATGCAATTAAAAATGGTTAGGGTAGTAGTGTCGCCAGCATGCTGTATTAGGCAAAGGGTATCTTGTTTATCAGGCAAAATAATTATACGGTTTTAGAATATATACTCAGACATATCATGGTCTCTTACAGTTTGCAGACGGTGTGTACCTAGTGCTGCTAATGGGTCTCCTGGAGGGCTATTTTGTGCCTCTGCACAGCTTTTTCTTGACTCCTGATAGTTTTGAACAAAAGGTAATTCTGTTGTTGGATTTTATATTTTTATATAAAGAAAAACACTTCCTGTAATACACCGTTCAAACCTTTTTATGTAAGACTGATGTACCCTACCTAGGTTAAAAAAAAAAGGAACTACAGTGGTCACCATTAAAAATTCAGCATTTGCCAGCATTTACTACACAGTAGTATTTGAGATACTATGGTTATTGCCTCATCTGAGTAGAGGAGGAAATTGTGTTAACTGTCTGGTTTCTAGGAAATATTAACTGTTTGTGGGCAGCCACTGCAGTGCTGCCATTGAGCAATACTCAGTATTACCACTGACTTAAATAGGACATCTGTGCCTGAGTGCTGGCGGAATCAAATTATGAACAACAAAAACTGGACATTTGCAAGATTTCACATAGTTTAAAAATATGAAGGCATATTCCCTTATATGCACAATATACGATTTTAAGACCAAACACTGCCCTTAGTCTTCACACACAATCTCTATTGTCATCCAAGGCAATTCAGCTGTCTATTTGTACCTGGACTATATAGTGTTTATTTTTACTATTTTATTTTTGTTAATTTTTAAGTAATTTACCAAGCTAACTTGTCTCTCAGTGGACAGTTGAGCCCAAATCCTATTCAGATCAGGACAATTCCATTTGCAAATATTTTGATTTCTGACCAAAAAATACTTGGAATAATGATTAGTTCCCTGGTTTCTATGGACTAGATCCTCTGATGAATGGACCCATGACAACTTACACCATCTGAGGATTTGGCTCTGTAGCCTTAAACGCAGCCTATGCTGACCATGTACACTGGGCAGGAAATAATGTACAATAATTAATGTGTTCATTATATTACCAGGTCATTAATGTGTCCTTTTCATTTGAGCTAATGCAAGATGGAGGGTTGGAAAAACCAAAACCAAGGCCAGAAGGTATCCTACTTTATTTATTATTAATCTTTTTATCAGTTTAAGGATGAAATCCTATCCTGTGCTGTGGTGTTGCGGGTGGGATGATGGTACAAGGAACCTCTTAATCCACAAAAGTAGAGAGGCAAGTCTGTCTGTAGTGCTCAGGCAATCCTTGGTTAGGGTATGTGTCTAGCTCTCTTTCAATCAGCATCAAGTGCTACATGGGGGTGTATGCTGATCCTCAGAGAAGCAGCATAGTCCTTTCAGCATGTGTTCCTCAGCCCCTCCTTGACAATTCCTGCCTTTGCCAGTAAAAGTGCTTCTGCAAAGGACACAACGGGTGATAATTCTGCTCTGGCCAGGTTAGGACTTATCCATCATGAACACCTGTACTGAACAGATGATGATATTAATAATATGAAAAATTATTTGTGAATTGTATTGCCCACACATCTGGATAACCCTACTCCCTCCCATTTCACCTTCGCCTGCTAAACCCCCCAAAATGTGCAACATAATTCATAAGGGTTGTGTTGAAGACTTATTCATTGTGGTAGGAAAAGACAAATATCAAATGTTCATTGAGTTGCCTTTGAACACAGTATCTAATTGTGAAAATTTAAAATATTTTGCATTTATCTGATCCAATGTTCCCTCGTCTTCATGAGATGACTTTTTATACTGGTGAATTTTCAGACTTGCGTCTTACGTATTTCTGCTGCTAAATTTATAGGCAAGAGGTTGAGACTTGGGGGGAAAGCTGAGCCCCACTGAAGATTGTGAGAGTTTCGCCATTGATTTTAGTAGGACCAGAATTTCACCCTTGCACTCTCATATAAAAACATGGGTTTAAGTCCCACTCACAAGGCTGGATTGAGGCAATCCAGAGCCTGAGGCACCCCATGATATGACATGGAGTGCCTCTGTGGCGCCACTCCTGTAGCCCCGCCCCAGCCATGGTTCCATCTCCCAGTTTGAGTAGTGGTGGCAGGGACTTCCTCTCCCTTCCCAGAGAAACAGGGACAGCAACTTGGGCCCCTCTTATCCTCTCAGGAGTGGCAGCTCCCTTCTCCCCCTTCCCACCCCTCACTGCTTATATACACACGTGCTTCCCTTGGAAGAGCAAGGGTCCCTCAAAAAGGCAGGAATGGCAGCAGGGCCCTGCCCCAGTACTTACACCCAGGCTGTTGGGGTATCTGTTTGCTGGGCTTACTGCACTCTGCCGACACACGCAATCCTTTTCTGGGTGGTGTTGGCTGGACATTTCCAGCACAGTATGGTGTGGAAGTAACACCCCATAGAGATGAATGGGACAGTTAGAACTTTTCACACCTATCATTGCAGGTTGTCTGCAGACTAAGGCTGACATCACTAGAGCATCTATGCTATGGTCACCTTTTCAACTATTTCTTTGTAATGATAACAGCTAGAGGCTTAGTCCTAGTCTACACTAAAAAGTTAGGTCAACCCAGCTACATTGCTCAGGGGTGTGAAAAATCCACACCCCTGACTACCGTAGTTAAGCCAGTCTAACTCCCACTGTAGACAGTGTTAGGTTGACAGAAGAAATCTTCCATTGACCTAGCTACCATCTCTCAGGGAGGTGGATTACCTACGCTGACCGGAGAAACCCTCGTGTCAGCATAGGTACTGTTTATACTGAAGCACAACATTGGAACAGCTGCAGCTGTGCCGCGGTAGCATTTCAACTATAGACAAGTCCTTACTTTACAAAACAAACAAACAAACAAAAAAGCTGAAATTCTGACAATCATAGGCCTCAGGAGCTGGGGTTGCGGGCACAGACCTTTAGGCCTATGCCTTAATCTGGCAATATTGATCCTAGTTTTTCACTTCGTGTGATAGCTGGGACTATTGCGTGCAGGCCTACTTTAGCTAAATTGACGGTGACTATATCACAAGGCCTTATGTTTGGGCAATCAAAGTAAGGTGGTGGAAACAGTGAAATCCAGGGTTTCATGTAAAACAGAGAGTAGCTGTGATCTCCCACTCCTGGTGGAGGTTTAAAATTCTTATGGCATTTTAATTTTTCAGGTATTTACTGCTCTAGGGGACAGCTAATTTTTCCAGTATAAATCAAGCCATAGGGACATTTCAGTATATATATATATATATATATGCCATTTCTTGTGCAATTATTGAAATGCTTAATATGAAACTTCCTGCCCAATGTGAATGGAAAAATGCATCTGTTTTATGTGTTGTTACATTGGGCACGATGCCCATGCCTAAAATTTCCAGAGAGCAAAAGAGCATTGGAAAGTATCTTACTATAAATGTGTATACTAAATAGTCTTAAAATTCCTACACAGCTTCTATGAAATTTCTGATGAATAAATGCTGCAGAATATGAAAAACATATGTAGAAAAAAATAGTGAATATGGTAAATAAAGTAGCATATCTGCATGGTATTAACTTTTTCAGGGCCAACCATTTATTTGTTATTTGCAATATATTATTTGCAATTATATACAATGAAAGGGCTTAAAAGGGCCCCCTTAATTTTATCTTTTACTACTACTTTGTATTCAAGAGATGTCTACAGATATGATGCTAAATGTCATCAGCCAACATTTTCAGAAAGAAAAGCCTAAAGTTAGACTCTGAAGTCCATGTTTACGTACCTAAGGATGGGATTTTCAAAAGCACCTAAATGATTTAGGAGCACAGCTTGCATTGAAGTGAATATGGACCGAAGAGCCTAAATTTAGGTTCCCAATTTTGGCCATCATTGTTTCCTTTACTAGTCATTATGATTTTCTTTCTAAAATGGCCCTAACTGCATACAGCAGAAGTGATTTCATAAACTCTGTTCATCAGTCTTTAATGAAAGCCTTGAGCTTGCAAGTTCTTGCATGGTGCTAGGCTGTTGGCGTTTGGTTACAGCACAAATGCAGGCAGAGACTTGGTGCGGGTGTAATTTAAAATGTGAACACAAACACAATTAAATTGTGGTCTCCAGAATGCAGCCAGCTTTTCAGGCCATCCAACTCTAATATTTAAGGGGCACACTCCGGCAGAAGATAGACTCCATGGCTCATAGTCCAGATCCTGGTTGGACTTCCATCAGTTCTGCTAGGACTCATAGGAATCTTTGCACTCAGCCTGTGTCTCCTCATCCATGACTGAGTGAAGAAGAATTTTAAAGCATTGTCAAGTGCAAGCTCCTTCTGGGTGACACTCCATTTTAGAAGCCCGCCATGGAAATGAGTTATTATGAGAAGAATTTGATAAAATTATGTTTCTATAGAAATGTAATAGAGTTCTATAAAAAATTAATAGAATTCAGTGTTATGGAAGTGAATAGAAATGATTAGTCTTTCTAGAGGTTTTTTTTTAACCATCCTGTACTCCTGGGGGAATTCTGCACCACTGCACATGTGCAGAATCATATCCCCCACAGATTTCTTTGCTTCCCCGCAGAAAAATGACTTTCTGAAAGGGGAGCAAAGAGAAGCTGCAAGAGCAGTCACACACCACTCTCTAGCAGAGCAGGTACATCATTTCATGCACCCGAAGCAGCTGGTGGAGAGGCAAATCACCGCGGGGCTAGGGACACCCCAGCCAGTGGCTCCTAACCTGAGCTGGGGTCAGCTGCTAGACCCGGCTGGGCTGGAGGCAGGAGAGGACACGACTTCCTCTTCCCCTGCAAGGAGTGTCTGGGGCTGCCTCAGACCCACCCCCGGAAACCTCCCCTAGCTGCAGGAAGCTCAGCATCCTCACCTGCTTCCTGCCCCCATCGCTCCTTAACTGTGGTGGGAGGGGTCACTGTACCGGGAGCTGCTCCCCCATCCATCCTACACCCATGCATCTGGACCTCCCATACTCAGACACCCCTGCCAAGCCTCACTGTGTACTTCCAGAACTCCCCTAGCCCTCCATACCCAAACCTCACCCCACTGAACCACAATCCCTGCATCTGGAGCCCTCCTGCCTCAGGACCCCCTGTCTCCAGACCCCAACCCCTGCACCCAGACCACGATCCACTGAGCTCCCTTCACTTAAACCCCCTCCCTGATGCCCCACCCCCTGCACCCAGCTAGATGCACCCAGACTCACACCCCAACAAGCCCCATTCCCCCAGCATCCAGACCCCTCCGCTGAGCCCCAACCACCTTCACTTGGAAGCCGCTGCAGAGTCCCATTGCCCCTGCTCCTGGAACTCCCCCAACGAGCCTGTGTGCATCCAGATCCCCCCACACGTAAACCCCCCCACTGCACTGCCTGCACCCAGATTGTCCCACACAGAATCCTCTCACCCCACAGCTGGATCCCCCCACACTGAGCCCCTCCACACTTGGATCCTGCCTGGTTGAGCCTGCCTGCTCCACACCTGGTACGCCTGGCGCAGAGAGGCAGGACCCCAGGGTGTTTCTGGGGCAGACCCAGGCCTTGTGCTGCATCAGGTTAGGGTGTAGCCTCACCGCTGAGTCCGTGTCCCGGGGGTGGGAGGTCTGCAGGGTGATCTCCCACCTTCATGCAGCCAGCGCCCTGTGCTCCCCACTGCCATGCTGGAGCCTCTGCATTTATTTATTGACAAAACATGCAGAATTTTAAAATATTGTGCGCAGAATTTTTAAATTTTTGGTGCAGAATGCCCTCAGGAGTAATCCTGTAGAATTCCATAGAGATTATGAAATTTTCAGATACATTTTATGGGGTAGTTTGAAAATATTTGTGCAAAGTTTTCCATTAAGTTCTGTAGGACTCCTCTATAAGGGAATAAAGGGGGTCATGTGACTCCAAGATTCCCAGCTCCAGGCTTGATGGGGGAACCTCCCCTTTTTAGAGGTAGAAAGGCAGACCATAACTGTAGCAATCTGAGCTGTGTAGAAATGCCCTTTCCTTGATTCCCAGCAGCTTTGGGATTTTTTACATTTTATAGCCTTGCCTATTAGCTCCTGGAACCTATCTGTGTCTTCCAAGGGGCCACAAAGTGAAGGGGCCTAGGGATTCATTAATTCCATTAGATGGAATAGTCCCTTCATGAAACACAGGAGGCTCCATAATTACTCAACTCTGGAAATGAAGCTTTTTTTTGTATGGCTTCTGCAGCTGCCTTGCCATGTAGCCAATGTCCACAGCCTTCTACAGCTTGCATAGCTTGGAAAACCATGCATGGGTTTGGCTGGATTGGACCATTAGAGTGTAGACATTTGTTGTATAATCTTCAGAATCACATAAAAGACTGCAATATAACTACTAGAATGGCAATATTATTGTGATAATTACATAATTTGCTAGGACTGCCTGCATGCTTTGAAGATGACTTGTTTACACGGACCAGAGCAGTGATTCGGGTCATTTAATTTGATATATATTCTGTCGCAATAACGTTGACTTTCTCAACAACCTCTCTCGGATACAGAGTGGACATTCATTAGCTCTCTTGTTTCGCAAAGGTGGGGTTTTTTTAAGCTTAGATATATATCGTTTGAGGCTCCGATTCAGCCATCTACTTGACCATGTTCCTAACTTTTTAAGGATTGAGGGTGTGAGATCTTCAGCAACAACTTTCAGAGGCATTTGTACACCGAACTCCCAAGGTGCTTTAGAAAAATCTCACCTTAAGAATGTCGAAGTGCTTTAATTTCCTTGCTAAATAAAAATCTAACAGAATATGTTTTATTCAGTATGGACCCAGTCTTGCAGCCCCTCCATATCTGAACAGTCCCACTGGAAGATCAGGCCCTGAGTGTCAATTAAAAAAAAAAAACTGCTTCCAGATTTGTACCTGCAACTTTTCACCCACAATCAAATGTGGGTGCAATTTTGTAGGTACAAATAATCACGGGTACTAATTTTTTGCATGTAGACATCTAACTAGCTGTCTTTGCAAATTTGTATTTGCAAATCAGGAAGTTGTGTGTTCTGTATTCATCTGCACCTACAATTAAGTGTGGCTGTAAAATTGATGGCCTGGTCACAAATTGTTCTTATATTTGTCCATCTTCCATACCCGTGCTTCCTACGTTTGTGGTTGTGTATTTGGGGAAGAGACTGAGGAGAGAAGAATGTACTTGCATGCAAGAAGGATGGGCATTTTTTCTGGGGCTTCCTGGATGTCATGAAAAGAGCTGATTTTCCCTTTTTCCCTCCCTTTTCTAGATATTGTAAATTGTGACTTGAAGTCCACACTGAGAGTGCTGTACAATTTGTTTACCAAATACCGGAATGTGGAGTGAGGAATTTATTTGGGACAGATGAACGTCTGTTAACAAAGCAACCCATCACAACAAACAATCATATACTTCACGGTCATCCCTTTGCATTTGTATTTTTTAAAGGAGCTGAATCATTTCTCAGAAGTGTTTTGAACTGATTATTCTTGCTACGCTTATTATACCATATGCTTAAAATTAGGGCTGCATTAAACCAAGTGAAATGATGAAGTAAAAAGTCTGAAGGAAGATAACTAGGTACCTTCTGGGGAATTCCATCTCTGATTAATATTTCGCTAGTCTGTTTTAAAATACTCAGAGCAACAAGCAATAGACTTGATAGCTTTAATTAAACTGGACTTTGGAACCAATTGTAGGAGGTTATCTTCAGCTGTATATTAAATATTAATTTGGAAAAAAATATTTTTCTAATCTGAGAGAAGACAATATCTTCTATCCATAATAAGATGGATGCATCAGGGGATCCTGCTAACTTACTGAATGTGTATGGAAGGATAAGTAAGATGTGATGGTTCACACTGGAGCTAAGAAGAAGAGATCTGTAAAAGGCACTAAACCCGGTTAACTATTTTATGTTGTTGTATAAATCAAGGCTTAAATTTTCTGGATACTAACTGATATGACTACTTATTCCTTCAGACTCGTAATGATGTGATGTTCTGATTTAAATGTGCATTGTCTATCAATCGGAACAGCACTCTTTACAGCTTGTATGCTTGATTCTGTGCAATGAGAAGACCTTTACTGCAAAGTACAAAATTCAGTACAGTGTCAAAACCTTATAATACAGCCTCTTCATAAGATCTATCCTACAAAGACACCCAGGGACAGTAGAAACTGAAGTAAAGGAATTGTTTTTACTTAAAATGAACAGTTTAGAAAAATATAATTAGTATAAATTATGCAGTATGTTGGAAGGGCACAAGGAATTAATAATTAAAGCCTACATTTAAAAAAAAGTGGGTTCCCAACTAAAGGCCTTAAAAGATGCCTGATTTTCAGAAAGTGGGTGCTCAATACTTACTGAAAATCAGACCTCTTTAGGTTGCTTCAAGTTAGGCACCCAAAAATGGAAGCACGCAAGATCACTATTCACTTTGGAAAAATTAGGCCAAAAGCCTAATATCGTGTAAGAGTAGTGAGGCGTGTTTGAGCATACACATTTTAATAAAAGTGGTAAAGAGTGATCAAGAAAAGTAAAGTTTGTAGTGTGTCATACTGTAATATTTGTAAAACTATTAGATGGGATAGCACTTAAATACTGTAGCCTAAAAAATACGGGATAAACAACTTATTTTTTTTACCTTGATATTTTGCCTTTACTTTAGAAAGAAATTATATAAATTAAATAGAAAATAAAATAGTGCCTGTTTTTCTCTCTAGTCTATTTTATACATTGAGCTGCAGGCCTTCTGTGTTGCTAGTTTAGATTTATTTACATAAAAGGAGGCAGTGTCTAGCCCCTTGGTTAGTTCATGATTGAATTGTTTTGTTGTACAATGTACATCACGCAAAAGTATGATTGTTATTTTCTGGAAACAGTCCTCCACCCTTCACATTCTAATGCATTTTTTGGCATTAACTCAGACTTGCTGAGATTGTTACAATACAAGATTCTGTGGAAGTTTTAGATAAACAAGAATTATTTTTCCGCTCTAATCATGACACACATGAGCTGTGATGATTTTACATTTTCAGTTGTAAGACACACAGGAGACATGGGGCCTGCTTCTCCTCTCGCACCTCTATCAGGCCTCAATTGGATAGGCATAGGTGTCCATGCTAGTAGATCACATTGCATGAGTCTAAATCAGGAACAGTGCTATTGAAACCAGTGGTTACCAAGGAGAGTAGTAAATTAATAATTACTTAGAGTTTTAAAATCAAGATTTAGATGTCTTTCTAAGAGAGATGTTCCGACTCAGCCACACGTTATTGGGCTCAATAGTGTTCACTTAAATAGTTGAAAAGAAAAGAAAAATTCTATTAGGGCTGGAATTACCGGGTAAAATTTTTGGCCTGTGTTATGCTGCAGGTCAGACTAGATGGCCATAGTGGTCCCTTCTGGCCTCAAACTCTATGAATTACACCAGTGTAAAATTAGTATAGGTGAAAGGAGAACCATGCCTGTGGTCTCTTGAATCAGTTTATCTGAAGAAATGCAATGCTGATAAGAATTATTCATAACAGGTTTATGTTACTCATTATCTAAAGCGCTAAATATTTTATTTTGCAGTTTTTGCTTATTTGTTTTTCAGTGCAGTCATTAGTGTTAAATCAAGCAATGATGTTCTTCCATGGATACTAAGTGATGTTAAATAATAAGCTGATATTAACTTCGGTTGAGGTGCTTATTGAGATTCATTACTCTGAGAGGTAAATATTGACTGAGGCAAAGATAACGTCAATATTTAATTCAAGGAACAATAAACCAGGATGTTCACTGAACCAAATATTCAATATCTGTATTGTTACTTACTTTCTGAATGTCCAAAGACTATCTGGATATCCCTACATTTTAGTAATGGTTTTCAAATGCATGGCAGCTTTTCCTTTTAAACGGAGTTTCTAAAGGGCTTATGAAGTTAGAGGTTTAGAAAAGAAAAATATTTTCTTTTTTTTAAGAGGTAAATAATTGGACTTTTTGCTCCCAGCCAAAATGCTCTAATTTGTATATGTTATCTGATTAGTTAATGTCGTTCTACATCTCAGTATTATTGACCTTTTGAGGAGATAAACAATAGGAACTCATCCTGCGGTGGGTTTTTTTGAGAGTCAGCCAGAAGTGTTCTCCTGTACATACCCATAGTTACAGTATGTTTTCATACTTTGCCAGGAAGTTTCAGATTTCCCTCCTTTGATTATTTGGCCTTTATTTGTCCATCTACAAGTCTATAGGCTAGTAACTGCTAGAATGCCACAGCTCAGTTCTTTATTTTATTTTTTACAGATTTTATTCAGCTGGAAAGACATGACACTCTCACACACACTGAACATATTATATGAGCAAAGCATATATTTTTAACTGCCTTTGTTTTCAGGAGAGCGCTTTTTTAGGAAGACACTTAGCTCTCTCTGCACAGAAGAAAGATTATGGACAGCAAAACTAGTCGTTTCCTGCATCTGTGCATTTGTCCTAATTCTTATTATGGGTTGCTCTGCTAATGAAGTAATTGGCAAATTTTTTGTGTCAGTAAATTCCATCTAAAACAAATCAATGGACAGAATTGTGAAATACTTACAGTACAGTAATTGTTGGACACGTAAGACTATAAAATCTCATTGTTTTTCAAAACAAAATTTAAACTTTTATATGAACATCTGTTTTATAGCAAGAATTTTTGTAAACTAAAATCTTATATAACTATATGAGAACACAGGTATTATAAACCTAGAACAGTATAATAGTTTACACACACACACACACACACACACATACACACACACATTACAGGCCAGTGGATTACTGCTTATATTTCTGATTATATAGATTTAAATAGCCTATAAAATGAATATGAAATCTAATCTATAGATATCTAATATTTATTGCTTTTAATATAGAAAAAATAGAATATTACTGTAGTCAGTTTTCTCTTTATCAAGTAATATTTGGCCTGCACCTTACTTATGTGAAGCTAATTGGGTAAAATTTTGCTCTTAGTTAACAGTGCAGTTACTCCTGATTTACAGCAGTGTAACTGAACTTGAATTTGTCCCATTGGCTTAGAGGTGATTTAAGTTTTAGGTCAATTATGGCTTTATTTATAATTCTTGTAAATGATTAAATATTTCCACATCAATGGTAGCAATTTTAAAGGACAATGTTTTAAGATTACATTGAAATTCAGTGGGCCCGATCCAGCAAAATAATCTCTGGCTTTCTGTGACATGAAGGTCCACAGGTTTCTAGGACCACAGAAGGCTGAGAGAATATTGATGTGCCATGAGGGATCAAAAAAGAAAAAGAAAGAAAGAAAGAAAAATCTTTACCGGGGTGTTAACAAATGCTAGGAGAGCAGAGAGTGCTCTGCTTCCCAATTCTTAATTCATCTATCTCCCATCACAGCCATGCAGCAGTGCTGTGTGGGTCTTCCCCATCCCCATAATGACCATCGGGTTATTTGTAGGGGGGAGCCCTCTGCAATAGGCAGAGTCCTGGTGGAGCCTCCCCTCCCCAGTTACTTTTTGTCTGACAATAAGGAAGGGCAAGTGTCTAGGCCAAGTAGTCTCTATTTCTCAGAAGAGACCTCCAAAATGGAGTTGTCACCAACTGAGGTTCTAAGATCTTAAGGCTATGGCTCCTCCAAATTTTTTTTCCATCTGACTGACATTCAGTCAGCCAGGGAAGAATGAGCCTGTGAAAAGATGTCAGGGCTGAGTGAGTTCGTCTGTTTCTCCAATATCATGTCGATAGAGATGGGTTGCAATATATTGCAAATGGACTGTCCATGAATAGTGGTGCTCACAGAATGCCTAATCCTCAGCATTCCTTAGTTGCTAGGTACTTCTCTCTCAAAAGAGGGAGCAGCAGCCTGTACATCTTCATAGCTCAGGAAAGCTCATGGAACTTCTGTGGACCAGCAACTGCTGGATATGGCCCTAACATTCTAAGTCAAATCTACTTATGTTTACTCTTTGGAACAAATTCTCTGCTGGTGTATCTCCACTGAAGTAATTGGAGTTGTACCAGCAGAGCATTGGTCCCTTCTGTTTTACAGGAGGGTCTCAAGATAGGCTTTGGGTATTTTTTATGTTCAGACAAGCTGTATTAATTAAGACAAATGATGTTTGATCAGTGTGACTGACCTTTGCATTGTCCATTGATTTTACAGGGACATGTTTTTAAATTCATATTTCAGATTCACTTAGCAGATACTACTCCAAGCCACAAATGTTGTTAAATGGAATGGCTTTAAAATGTGATGGGTTTTATTTCATTAGGCAGAAATATGTATGAATATTAGATATAGTACATATTAGCTTTAGACCTTTTTTATTTGTTTATTTTTGATCTCCTCTCATAATGTTGTCTTCACTCAAAGCCTCTGAATGTGCTGAACATCCCAGAGTAGAATAGTGCCTTGAATAATACTTGTAGCCTTCTCTACAGCATTACCTAGTGGTCTTTTATCATCTTATCGTGAGAACTATTGTTGCATTTTTCTAAAGTTAATGCAGTCACAGATTAAATGTTTCATGTAAAGTGAAAATTAGGTTAGAATACGATTTTTAAAAAATTTGTTCACATGCAAAATAGTCTATTGTAAGTAGATATTGGAGCCAAAATAATAAATATATCAGAATCACAAATATTCTACTTTCTAAAGCCCTCTGATCATTTAACATTTGTGAGGGCTAAATTCTTTGTATCTGAGTCTAAATCTGTGCTTGTTTGCCCTGAATCTATTAGTTAAAAACAACTTTGTCCTATTCAACCTGTCTGCAGTCTAATAGTTTTAATAATTCTATGCTTTCCGGTGGTATTAGTCCCATTTCATTGTTTGGTTATAAAATTCAAGATCACAATAATTAAATGTGCAACACACAGAAAAAGAGTTGCAATTCTTGCTTCATAAAATATATATCTAATTGTGCTGGTTTATATAAATTAACCCACATGCCTTCAACTGCAGATTTAATGGCTTTTATAAACATGTATTTTATGTACTCTGTAAATAAGAGAGACACTACATTACCAATATTTCTTGTGCTTTTTCTGAAAGATCTGTTAAGATACACAATAAAAATCACACCTGAAAATCAGAATTGCATGTTACTGTCTGTGCTAAAGATGATTTATGAAGCAAAAAGTAGCAAGGTTACGTGGTTGTATATTCCTGGAACTCCAAGCCCTCTGTGTGCATTTTCCCCACTCCCAATTATCTCCTTGTGGGTGTGCTTGGTGTTTATTATTATTATCTGTGAAGGTTGGTGACAGCTGAAAGTGGATTGATAAAACAGACATGTAAACATATGCTTGAGCCTATTAGCAGCAGCGGGTACAGAAAAGGCTGTACCTGACTCAAAATAGTGTAGGCAAAGCACACCCTGCCTCTCCTGGTTATTGTTGGCATATTAGACACTTTCACAGTGAAGTATTATATCATATTCTGTGAAATATTTCAGTTGTGTTATTCAATAGTGTGTCAGCAACGTATGTAAACTATTGCAGTTAAACCTTTCCAGCACATAAAGTAACTGTAGTTGGTTAATGCATTGTTGTTGTAGCTGGATTGGTCCCAGGATATTAGCGAGACAAGGTGAGTGAGGTAATATCTTTTATTGGAACAACTCTGGTGGTGAGACAAGCTTTTGAGCTTACACAGAGCTCTTCTTCAGCATTGTTAAGAAAGCTTTGGGGACCTAATTTTTGTAATGAAACTTTGTTGTGATACTTATATATACACAGTAGTTTTAATGCAGCATTGTTTACCATTTGCATGCTGTTATATTAAATTGCTTTCTCAATAAAGTAGGTCATTTTAATGCTAACACATCTGTACCACAGTCAAGCAATTAAACTGTATCTGAATTGCATGACTTAGAAGTGTTTGTGAAAGGACTGCAAGATTGTGGTTTTAGCCACAAGGGTGAATACAGAGTGATAGTAACAAAATCACAAATCTGTATGGCCTTTTCCTAAAGTCTTTGCAAAGAAACTGGTGGTGGGAAATTTTTATAAAGTCACTTATTCCATCCACCAGTCAGTGCAGGATTTGTCCCTCCATTCTATTTCCAAACCAAATTTAAAGGAATGCAACGATGGGCTTGTGCTACCTCCCTTATGAAACTATGCCACATTCTAACAGACCTCAGGTTAGAAATGTCCTGATATTCAGTCTAATTTTTACCTGATTCAATTGATTTCACACTGAATACCTGATGTCTTCTTTCTTTGATACTTGCACCACTCAAATTTGGTGAAAATTAATACCACACTATTGTGTGCTACCACAATTATTTTAAAAAATATATACTATTTTATTACATTTTGAGACTCAAAAGTTTTCAGCTGTCACTAATAAACACAATTCACTGCTCAGAACTTCTGATGCTTAGAATAACTAACTGCACCAATTATAGTCATTTTGCTGATTTATTAGGCAAAGTATTATATTAGGTGAACATATTATTCTATTAAATTACATAAGGAAAAAACCCTGGGACTAAGATGTTCATGCAATATTTTTTCTAAAAACAATCCTCATTGTTTTTTTCCATCAGATACAAACACAGTTCCTCTGGTACAAGAGAATAGCAGATAATTTTGTGTATGGGCTCAAGCTTGCAAGGTGCTGAGCATTCTCACCCCAATCCAGAAAAGCATGTAAGCACATGCTTAACTTTAAACATTTGAGTTGTCTCTTTGATTTATTTGCAGGATTGAACCCTGTATAAGTAAGATCCCATGTTACACAGAAATATGTATGTTAGCAAGAGATGTGGTATGTGG